ATTTTATTTTAATAAATCATAAATATTAATAATTTTATTAATTATAACTATAATTATTAATATATTATTTTTAACAATTAAATAAATATTTTATGTGACTTTAATAAAATACCCATGCCCCAATTTTGGGGTTGCATATAGGCTCATCTAATAAAGAGCTTGAACATCATATACTGGTGTAGGTATGACTGCGTGTCAATTATGTGTGGATATTTGGTATAGATACGTGGAAAGTAATGTGGCTACCAAGAAGAGAATCTATTTTCCTCCATGCACATAACTCCCAATTCTCCACGCCAAACAAAGACAGCTCCATTTTGGCTTTTTTTTGCCATCAAAATTTATCCAATCAATAAGCGTTTGGTGGTGGTTGAAGATTTGGTCTAATCCCTCTTTCGTATGCTATATATATTTTGTAATTAGGACTACCAAATATGTTAGTATAAAATAAAAAAAATAAGGGAAAGGAAAATTATTGGTATATTTTCAGTTCAACATATTTTTTTACATACTTTTAGTTTAATCATTAAAAATATAATATAAATACAATTAGTTTAACTGATTCTTGTATCATATGTACATACTTATATCATAAAATTTATCTATATTTAATTTTAAATTAAAAAATAATAATTTTTTAATAAGTGTATCATATGGTGTATTAAACCAAAATGCATATTAATCATTGTCCTAAAGAAAATAAGCATTTCTATGTAGTATCACTGTCAATTTACGATGTCTTTGAAGAGTCAAATTGAAAATAACTAATGGAAACAGGATAGAAAATTATGTGCAACTTCTACTAGTTTGCATATGAATTGTCTTGAAAACTCCACGTTCCCCACTTTTCCATCACTCTTCCACTTGCTCATGCAATTGGATAATATGGTGTATAGTACCTAATTTCCTATTTATTACATCATTTTTAATACAACCTGTTGATTTCCCGTGTTTTCTTCTCATCTCCTTCTAGATTTTTATTGAGAAATCATTTGGGGATAATTTTTTTAATTATTTTTTATATAATTTTATGTATTATTTAAATAATTAATTTTTTACTCATTTAAAATTTATAATATTAAATATATCTATTTATTTAATGACATATAAAAATTATATAATAATTTATATACAAAATTATTCCTATGTCATTACCCATTTTTATTTAAGCCCCTCAAGAGCTCAATAACTACTCTTACTTTTTTGCCCCTTTAAATTTAGAGAAATAACAATTATTTCTTTTACTTCTAGTAATTTCACCAGCATTAGACTATCTTGTTCTACTTAAATTAAAGATATATAATATTGCCTACATGGTTAGTTACAAAAATGGAATAATTATATTATTATATAACATTATAAATTTATAATCGTGATGTATTATATATAATTAAATTTTTTTATTTAAAAATTTATCATAATAACATATATATACTTATTTAATAATATATTATGATTATAATATATTATTACCCGCTTAATTAAGTCATAGACAATATCTATGTGTAGATACTCAATTGTTTGTTTCCGAGTTTTGTAATTCACTTCAAGCAGCAATTAGGTATATGCTCCTATCTACTTTAAAGAGATATTTGTTCAAATATTTAATCTCCTTGTCTTGTGCTGATTTTTTTTTTTTTAAAAGAAAAAGCATCTCATATACTATTCTATAGTAGTTCTAAAAATTTAGGAGTACTATTTATTGATTTGTTTTTTGGGGGCTCATAATCTAATCGCATTTATTCTAAACCACCAAAACTCAATCCATATCCACTAACCACCATCTAAAGCCAAAGGTAATTATTTTGATATCAATAAAAGGTTGATTCTCGTCTATTTAAAAAGGGAAAGAACTGTACTACTAGCCAATAGTATATGTATATTTTTTATAAAAAGAATATAAAGACTTTACCATAAAAGTAATTCAATTTTATACCATAATAATGCGTTTAGATCAAAAAAAGAAACGTGTGAAATTGTTTTCGTACATAACAGTTGCAAAGATTATAGTATTTATTTTCTGTCTAAAAAAAACAGAATCTAGTAATTTTTTTTCTTCTTCTTCTTCTTTTTTTATTTTAAATGAGATTCTATTGTTTCTCAGTTACTGCTCTCTTCGTCCCAGCAGTAGCCGTTTTTCGGACTTGTTTATTTTTTAAATTAATGATTTATGAAATCAGCACATTAGACCAATTGGTTCATCCACCAAATCTAAGAATTTGGTTTATGTAGGTTGAAAATTCTACTCTACTTACTACTTGCAAAAAAAACCCATTTTCACTAAAAGTTTCCCATGTTCAAAAAAAAAAAAATTTATGAAATAATTAAAGTTTTTTTAATAAAAATAATTAAAGTTAAGGATAATGATAGTAATAAATTAAGAAAAAAATTATTTTCTTTAAAATATAAAAAAATGACAGTTAATTTAAGAAAAATTTTGAATAAAAAGATTATTATTATTATTATGGTTTAGAATGAGTATTATATTATTTTTTATTTTAAAATAATTATAATTTTTTACTTTTTCACATATTAAAAATTTTAAATAATATATATTTGTTTATATTATTTTTAAAAATATAAATAAAAAGAAAATTTTAGTAACTGACAAATAATTAAAGTTAACATGTACCAAAAAAATAATTAAAGTTAACAAACAACAATAAGAAAATGGCAAATTAATTTGAAACAAAGTTTAAGTATTTTTTATATGTTTAATGATGAGTTATATAAAAAAAATAATAACTATACTTTTCTTCTCAATTTACTTTTCAATCTATTCAAGATTCAAATATAATATTTTAATTTACACTTGGCCCTTCAGACTAACTGGCATATGCCAGCTTGAGGGGCATTCCCCTCTTTTTTGGCGGGTTTCAAGCTTGTCTCTTGACAATTTGTTTAAAAAATATATATATAATATTTTAATTTAAAATCTTATTTTCTGTTGAATCACTCGTAATAATATTTAATTTAAGTTAAAATTTTATTTTGATCCTTGAACTATTATACAGACTCCTGATTTGATCCCTAAACTAAAAAAATCTTTGATTTGATCCCTACTGTTTACTATTTTAACCCCAATTTAGTCCTTCTGTTAAATATCCACCTATGTGTCTCGTTACTTGATGGGAAAAAGGATGACATGTCAAATATTAATACATGTGGAAGACAATAAGACTAAAAAAAGTGATGACATGGAAAAAATAATAATATAAAAAAATATTATGAAAATAAAACTTAAAAAATTCTTCTTTTTTTTTTTTTTTTCTTTTTCCTTCTCTTTCCCCTTCCCCTTCTCCTTCTCATTCCCCTTGGAACCCAGGGGCAAAAAATATTAAAAAAAAAAAATTCGTTTTCTTTGTTTGGGTTTTGTTGTTTGATGATGATGAGAAATTAATTGATGAAGATGAAGAAGGCAAGGCAGCCGTTGGGTTCCTGTAGGTGCTGGGTTTGATTTTGAACCCAACAAGAGATCAAACCCGACGTCGAACCCAGCAGTCGCTGGGTTCGATTTCGAACCCAGTACTTACAAGAATCTGAGGATAATACAAAAGACAACAAATTTATAAATAGATCGAACTCAACAGATCCATCGACCCAACGGCTGCTGAGTTTGAAATAGAACCTAACAGACAACAGATCGATAAACAAATTGAACTCAACAAATCCAATCGACCCAACGGTTGCTCGGTTTGAAATGGAATCCAATGCGTTTGAAAAATCAAACCAAGCAAGTGATCGAACTTAGCAAGTGATCAAACCCAACAAGCATTGGGTTCTATTTCCAACCCAGCTACAATTGGATTGAAAGATCTATTGAGTTCGATCTGTTGATTTGTTGTGTTATCCTTGGATTTAATATTAGGAGGTGTTAGGGTTTGCAAAAGGTGAAAGGAAAGTGAGAGGAAGAAGAAAGGGAAAAAAGAAAAACAAAGAAAGAAAAAAAAAAGGAAAAAGAAAATTTTTAAGGTATTTTCTTGTCATCTCATTTTGCCACGCTGTACATTCTAGGTGTCAAAATGCTTTTACATGTCATCCTTTTCTCGTCAAGTAACGAGACACATAGGCAGATATTTAACAAAATGATCAAATCGGGGATAAAATGGTAAATAATAAGGACCAAATCAAGGATTTTTTTTGTTTAAGGACCAAATTGAGGGTCCATACAATAATTCATAAACTAAATGGGTTTTAACCCTTATTTTATGAAAGAAATAACAATAAATAAAAAGCTAGTGGTAAGAGGTAATTATGGGGGAAAGGTGAGGGGTAGTTTAGAGATAGTGAAAAAAAAAGAAGCTAACGCGGTTTGGCAATAAAAAAAATGGGGGATAACGTGGGCTCAGCTGGCATTGCCGTGAAAAATACCGGCACATCTCCCGACCAAACCACATTGTCCACGTCAACCTCCTCAACTCACGTGCTCCTATCAAAACCACCGCAACCCCCGCCCCCCGTACGGAAACCAGCCAAATCGTAAGGGACAAAACGGGAAATTAAATACATGTAAGGGAGCGAGTTAGTGAGACGGGACGGGAGACCTTCGGAAGTCAAAAGTACAACACCCAGCTGCAGAAAAAAACCGCTACTTTATCCAATAAACATCTTCCACGTTGTCAAGAAAATTTATTTATTTATTTATTTATCAAAATTAGTTGTTGTGGGTTAAACGGGCTAAGGTCCTCTTACTTTACTTTTTATAGTTTCCCTTCCCTTCCCTTTCTTTTTATCTGTTTTCCTTGAATATGGGAAGAGGACGCATCCTTTGTAATTCTGCATAGAATATTTGATTCTGAGCGAATAAAGTTCTGGGAATTGTTGGTTCCTTAATTTATTGTATAAAATTTCTGCTCTTTCTTCTTTTATTGTTTTCAGTTGGGAGAATTTTTACAGATTTTTTTTGATTTTTTAAGAAATGGATGATGAGTATGCTAAGCTTATCAGGAGGATGAACCCACCCAGGTACCCTTTTTTTTTTTTTCCTTAAAATTTGGGTCTTTTTTACTGTACTACTTTCTTTTCTATGATATTGTTTCTGGGTTTTGGTCGATGTAGTGAACTCCGTGAAGGGTTATCTTAAATTATTGGTTTTGGTTCGAGTTTTAGAGGATATAAAGGTTACGGTTATTGCAAGTTATCCTTTTCTTCTTATGTATTTAATTTTTCAAACTTGAATTTTTCTTTCCTGTTCTTTTGGCTTCTGAGATTTGGGGGAAAATTGAAGTGGGGGAAAAAGAAAAAGAAAGAAAGATCGGACCTTTTTCTTTTCATTTGCATCAAAAGGTTAATAAAAATTTCAAATTTATGCATGTTTCAGCCTGAATTTTACTAAATTATGCAGCGCGTTTCTCATGTTCTGGTTACTTTTATTTTGCTTCTAAGATGAATAGTGTATGGTGGACTGACTTCAATTTATGGGTTTGTTATTGCAGAGTTGTGATTGACAATGATGCCTACGAGGATGTCACTGTTATTCAGGTAAGGCTTGTTTTGGCTCTGACTTTTATAAGGGTGCGTGAATTGTGATAGTTAGGCTACTTGGTTGGTTCAATTCCTGTTTCCCTTAAGTTGATCAGGCCTGAGTGATGTTATATTTTGATTTTCTGAGAACTTGGTTCTAGTAGCACTAGCATATGACATGTGTTATTTAATTGGATTTTCTGTTCAGGTTGACAGTGTTAACAGACATGGAATTCTCCTAGAAGTTGTCCAGGTGCTTACTGATATGAACCTTATAATAACAAAAGCATATATATCATCAGATGGGGGCTGGTTTATGGATGGTAAGCTTCATTGTCAATTTCTCAAATTGAATGAAGATTGCTAAAGGTTAACTTTTTGTTTCTTTAATTACTTCTGATATTTGATTTTTCAGTGTTTAATGTTGTTGACAATGATGGGAACAAAATCAGAGACAAGGATGTTCTCCACTACATGCAGAGGGTTAGAACTTATCTCCCTCTGATTCTATAGCCTCACTAACCCCCCCCCCCCCCCCCTCTTTTTCTTTTCCTTTTTCTTTAGCAGTAATTTGAATAGTTTTGTTTCAATTTCTGTGTGACATATCTGCACATTGGAGTAAGTAAATATGAGGCCTGACGTAAAGGTGGGCTCTTCTAAACATCAGAATGATCTTAACTGTATTACTTATTGGAGTGAAGTTCTTAGCTCTCTGTTGGGGACCAAGTAAACTTGTTTTATTTTATCTTGTTTTCCAGCTACTAAATCAAGGGTTGTGTGACCAAGAATTTCTTTGTCTGTTTGCCGTTTGCAGAAATTAGTAGTTGTCTATTGCACATTATGTTTCTCTTGTTCTCCTGGGAAAATGTTTTCCCTCAGTGTTGAGTTTCTTTAGCTTAAAAAGTTTTATTTTCCATGAAGAATGTTATCAATTAATTCTTACTTTTAAGAGGATTTAAACAAATTCTGTTCTGGTCATAGAACTTAGTTTGCTGTACTTTTTGCTAAAATACAATGTAATTAGACTCAAAATATTGACTTTGTATTGCCTGAGTTTAACCAATTTGTAGCCTTGTGATGAGGGGATTCTGTCGCTACATACTTTCCCTTTCTTTTATCCATCATCTATTCTTATTTTTTAATGTTAATTTTTGCAGAGACTTGAAAACAATGCAGGCTCTGTCTCACGTAGAGGGTCTGTTGGGGTACTACCCTCAGAGGAGCATACGTCAATTGAACTTCTTGGTACTGACAGACCTGGTTTATTCTCTGAAGTATGTGCAGTTCTTGCAGACCTCCACTGCAGTGTTGTGAATGCTGAGATATGGACACACAATTGTAGGGCTGCAGCTGTAGTTCATGTCACAGATGATGCAACAGGGTGTGCAATTAAGGATCCAAAACGTCTCTCAACAATTAAGGATTTGCTTTGCAATGTTCTCAAAGCAAGTAATGACTTGAAAACAGCAAAAATGATGCTTTCAGTCCCTGGTACAATGCATAGGGAAAGAAGGTTGCATCAGATCATGTTTGCAGATAGGGACTATGAAAGGGTTGATATGGCAGGTGTAAGGGGGGTAGAGGATGAGAGCTCAAGACCACATGTCACTCTGTTGAATATTGAGAAAGATTATACAGTAATTACCATGAGGTCAAAAGATCGGCCAAAACTGTTGTTTGATATTGTTTGCACTCTTACAGACATGCAATATGTGGTTTATCATGGCATGGTCAACACTGGAGAGATGGAAGCTTACCAGGTATGAAGAGTTTATAAAATTATCTTAGTGACAATTTTTTGGTACCTAGCAGTTATTTAACAGCCTCTTTGATCCAATCAAAACACTAGTCCACAACAAAATGAGGCCAGAATAGTTTCTTAGGTTTGACAAACCAGTTACTAAATGAAACCTGATTATGATATTGTGTTCCATATTGGGTGGAAATTTTCTCCTTAGATGGACACAATTAAATTTTTCTAAGTTTATTGTCATTGACATTAACTGTCTTCCTTTTCCATTAAACAGAAAAATATGTTTGGTTGTAGGAATTCTATATTCGACATGTGGATGGGCTCCCCATAAGCTCGGAAGCTGAGAGAGAACGTGTCAAACAATGTCTTGAAGCAGCCATTGAGAGGCGGGCATCTGAGGTATGGGAGAACTATTAAGAAACTGTAACTATAGTTGGTGTGCTACACTTGTATGTGCTGTTCTAAGTTGCATTGCTTTGCATTGCAGGGACTGGAGCTAGAATTATGCACAGAAGATCGAGTTGGACTCCTCTCAGATATCACCAGAATTTTCCGTGAGAACAGTTTGTGTATCAAGAGGGCCTTAATTTCAACAAAAGGTGGCAAGGCCAAAGACACCTTCTATGTGACAGATGTGACAGGAAACCCTGTAGATCCCAAGATCATTGACTCTATTCGCCAAGAAATTGGGCAGACTGCATTACAAGTGAAACATAACTCAAGCCTCCCACCAAAGACTCCTCAACAAGAAACAACCATGGGTTATCTCTTTGGCAACCTATTCAAAGCTCGAACTTTCAAATTGATCAGATCTTACCCTTGATTACTGCTTGTACGTTCTGCCTCAGTAGATATTCGTACAGGAATACTAGTCCTTAAACCCAAAAGATAAACATTCAGCGCTAACTTTCCAATACTGTAGATGAAAGTTAAACACACCTGGAGCCAGATTCCACCCTATTCTATAGAAGTTGCTGGTACATCTTTATATTCCCACTATGTAAGTTCTGTACAGTATAGTGTTGCATGGATTGTACAACTCTAGAAGTTTGTACAGACGAAGAAGAATCTTTGTGAATATTTTTAAACCTCAGCCAAGAAAAACATTGTAAATATCATGTATATTGTGCAGCACGTATGTATATAAATCATAGATAATGTGTCTATTCTAGATGTTCTTTGCTGCTTTCTTTGCATTAATTGGTCTTAATATCAAATGATAGTATTTATAATTGCAAGGAAAATCAACAGGAGTCTACCTACATTAGTGGAGATATCTACTAACTTTAAACGCTATTAGAGTGGTAGTATATTTTTATTTGCTAAGTATAAACACTTTCTTTTTATTTCATTGTTAAGGTAAAGGCTTTATATTACGTGCCAGATTTGGTTCATGATGTGTCTACGTAGTAGGTTATTGTTTATTATTATTATTAATTAGAATCTTATCGAGATTTATTAGTTTAAATGAAAAAAGTTCGATTTCTTTTCAATAGTGATTTGATTTCGGAATAATTGGTATTTAATGTGATTATTATATATCGAAAAATTAAAACTAAAAAAAAATTATTAATTAGAATCTTGTTTTTCATTTCAGATTGTATTATACTAGATAAAGGACAAATTTAATATTAAGAATTCGTTTTCATCTAATAATTTAAGTTAAACAATCAAATTATAAACACATTTTTGATTATTATTATTATTATTATTATAGTTTGAACTGTGCTCTCCTTGATCCAATTTTCATCGTTCCGTGAATCGGACCTTTAAGTCTAATTATTCGACTCTATGCCTTAAATGCTTGGGTGAGGCGGTCGGAGTTTTGAGTTCTATAACTGTCGTGAACTTCACAAAAAAGTGACCTGATGACTGCATACCTTATTTGAGGGGTGAAATGTTCACTCGAATCAATTGCTAACAACTAATTTACTAACTTCCTAATCATTACTTTTGTCAAAAAAAAAAAAATCATCGTCTGTAAAGTGGAATGAACTAAAAAATTGTATTTATTATAAAAAATATATTATTTTATAATTTAAAACAGGTCGGACTGTAAAATAAATTTTTTATAAGGAAAAGAATGGTGCTTCTTGATGAAACGGTGAGTGTTGGAGTTCATCAACCGTGTCTGAGCATCTGTAGCTCCCGCGCATTTTGTTCATGATGCAGAAGCCTCCAATTGAGTTAGCGACTCGGATAGGCCGAGCTATAATCTCCGCTTCGAACCACACCATCCCAACAAGGACATGGACTCCGTCTCTCGAGCATGCGCTTCACCGAATCGGTTGCCGCGGCTCATTGAGTCCGCCGCTGGTTGCTGGAGTCATCGACTCTTTCCTCTCTCCTCATCACTCTCTCGCTCTTGGCTTCTTCAACTGGGCATCTCAGCAACCGGGATTCTGGCACAATTCTCTCTCTTATCAATCAATCCTCAAATCTCTCTCCTTTTCCCGCCAATTTAGTGCCATTGACACTCTCTTGAAGCAAGCCAAAGCCCAGAGGATCTCTCTGGATTCCTCAGTTTATTGCTTTGTGATTGATTCGTTCATCAGAGGTAAGAAGGCTCAGAGCGCTTTCTGGGTTTTTAATGAAGTTAGCTCATTGAGTGGAGAGATTGGGGGTAATGTTTGTAACTCGCTTTTGGCTGCTTTAGCTTCTGATGGGTACCTTGATAATGCCCGGAAGCTGTTTGACACAATGATTGAACGAGGAGTCCCTTTGAATACTATTGGGTTTGGTGTCTTTATATGGAGGCTTTCTAAAAATATTGAATCCAGTAAAGTCTTGGGTGTGCTTGATGAGCTTAAAAAGGGTGTTTCTGAAATCAATGGGTCAATTATAGCGGTTTTGATCATTCATGGGATTTGTTTTGCATCTAGAGAATCAGAGGCATTGTGGGTGTTGGATGAGCTGAGAAGTAGAGGCTGCAAACCTGATTTTATAGCCTACAGGATTGTAGCGGAAGCTTTTCGATCAAGCAGGGATGTTTTTGAGAGGGAGGTGGTTTTGAAGAAGAAGAGAAAGTTAGGAGTGGCTCCACGGACTAATGATTATACAGAGTTTATCTTGGGTTTGATTTCTGAGAGACTGATATTGGAAGCCAAAGATTTGGGTGAAGTTATTGTGAGTGGAAATTTCCCTATTGAGGACAGTGTCCTGAATTCATTAATAGGGTCTGTTTCGGCTGTTGATCCTGGCTTGACCATTATGTTTCTTAGGTTTATGATTGAAAAAGAGAGGCTGCCAACTCTATTAACTTTGAGTAACTTGAGCAGGAATTTGTGCAATCATGAGAAGATGGACGAGTTGTTAGAGGTCTATCAGGTTTTGTCCTCTAAAGACTATTTCTCAAATATGGAGAGTTATAATGTGATGGTGTCATTCTTGTGCAAGGGTGGGAGAGTGAAGGAAGCTTATGCAGTTCTTCAGGAGATGAAGAAAAAAGGGCTAGTCCCAAATGTCATATTCTACAATTCTCTCATGGAAGCATGTTGCAAAGAAGATCTTGTGCGTCCAGCCAAAAGATTGTGGGATGAGATGTTTGCTAGTGGGTGTTCCGGAAATTTGAAGACCTACAATCTCCTTATTAGGAAGCTCTCCCAGACAGGTGAAGTTGAAGAGGCTCTCCATTTGTTTCACCATATGGTAGAGAAAGGTATGGTACCAGATGCTACAACCTACACATCTCTACTTGAAGGGCTATGTGAAGAAACAAAGTTTGAACTTGCATTTGAAATCTTCAACAAGTCTGCTGAACAGGATTTCATGCTAGCACAAAGCATATTGAGCACATTTGTGCTAAATATCTGCAAAAAGGGTATGCTCATAATATCTACCTAATACCAAATGTTTCAAGGCTCAGGCTACTTGGCTTTCTCTTAATCTCTGTGGACTCTACCATAACCTTGATTTTAAAGTTTGCTTTCCGGGGTCATATCATCAGTGATTCATATTAACCAAAATTACATTTTAGCTTGTTTTCTATTGGAACTTTATACAAGTGTTTGAAGCTTGTCTAGATAAAAGTTATTTATTGCTCAATCTTTTATGCTCCATGCAGGTCATTTTCATGTTGCATCTAAGTTGCTTCATGGACTTAATACTGATATAGGAAGTTCAGATTCACATGTAGTACTGCTAAAATCTTTAGCTGATGCCAAGGAGGTTCAGTTAGCCATTGAACACATGAAGAAGGTTCAAGAAACTTCTCCTTCTAAGTTGCAAGCTATATCTGCCAAACTTGCTGTATCACTTTCTTCCACTTCAAGATCAGAACCAATTCTATTATTGCTTCAGGCAATAGGAGAAAAATGTCTGGATGGTAAGAATGATGTTTGGAAGGAAATGCATGGATCCAGTGCTGGATATTTTGCAGCATAATTCTGATTGATTACAAGTAGCTCCATGGTCCATCTAATGCATAAAGGTTGGTTTCTTTTTTCATACAAGAGTGATAAATACATGTTTTCTACACTATGTTGTTACCCTTCTGCCAACTAGTTCTTCTCATGTTAATGGCAAGAAATTTTTATACACAAAGTACTGTGCCTCAGAATGTAAGAAATATTGAAACTAGAATATCCTACTTTTCAGTTACATCTATCACGGAAAATACTCAATTTTAGACAATGATTGCAAGATTTTTCTATGAAATGACTTTTCACTGGCTTCTTAATTTACAGGACTGTATGGTCTAGAAGGATTTCAAAGGCAATTTCATGGTCATCATCCTTTCTACAGGTATGTAATGTTGCAGCACCCCCAAGATTGTAGGATCATCCAAGAAATCTGTAGATGCTAATAAATCACCGACTGTCCACAACTCTCTATGTTCATTCCATTCTGTCAACTCAGATCTAAGTGGTGATAGGTTTTCAGGCCACCTTTCAACCACTATAAGTTGATAGTTGCTCTCCATTGAAAGGATGGTGGAAGCAGCCCCTGATCCCTCCATTGCCACTTTTTCAATGTACATTGCCCCATTATTTCCTATGATCATGACCCTGAATTCATTCACCATGTCATTGTCAAGTCTCTCCTCCACATTGTAACCAGTCATAGTTCCACTGTAGAGAAGCCGCATTATTGTCAAGTTGACATTGGATGGTCCTGCCATCCTTAGCTGTGTAGTTATTGCCTCTTGCAACTCCGCCCTACCCAAGAAGAGAACTGCAACATTTTTTGAAGATCACGTTGCCGAGATGTGCCTTAAGCTTCTGTGGGTTATACACGAACAAGGTACCTTATGAAGGACATTTTGGTCGGCAAACTGCATGGCCTTTCTTTCTATAAGATTGCATTGCACCATTGGCATGAAATCTCTTGTAGACAACTAAGACAAGGGAAGGCTTTTATTTTTAAGTTAGTGGCTAGGGCAGGGAAGTCTTATCTGTTTTGTGATGTGCACACCGAATCCAAATCTCAAACTCTTAGTTGAAGTTTTTCTTTTTTATAAAATTTATTAATATTTGTTCCTATTATTCTGTTCAATAAAACCAAGATTGTTTAAAAAGTAATTTTATCATTCAGAATGTGATTTTCTTTACTAATATATACCTTTTCCTGACTGTGTTAAGATCAAGTTGGCTCGCTATAAACATGTAGAATTAATAAATTATAACCATGATGCTATAGAATTTCTTTTCTGAAAAAAGAATCTGTAAAATTACCATGCAAAATGGCTTTGAAATTAACTGTACAATATTTATTTACAGAAAGAATTGGGTAATAATTTACAAGAAAAATACAGCAGAAGATGGATACAGTATGAGATGGGTACATTTGGTTAGTCTTCAAGTCGTTGAATTTCGCCCATCAGTATGCGGTTGCTGGTTACCTTGAAGCCAAGGAGGGCAGGGTCTATGTGTCTACCCTTTTTACCCTTTTTCTTGCCACTGCGCCCGGCTTGTGAACCACCACCATCAGATGACTCCCAGGCAGGGCCATATGCTGCATCGGCCCCATGCTGTACTGGTTTCTTAAGAACATCCATAAATGATGCCTCCGATACTGCAGTATCATTGCATGATGAGGTCCTCCTGCAACGTACATCTCTTCCTCCAGATGCCTGGGCTTCTGCTGTCCTGCTTGCAGCTGGATTTCCTGCAGCCTCTTGATTTCCTTCTGCAGTTGTCATCATTCCCCAATTGTATATCAACGGATGAATGTAAGTAAAAGCACATATATTTACTCATTTCCTCCAATAAATCAATATTTGAAAATATATTATATACCATCAGAACTTGCAAGGTTTGTCGGAGTCTTCAACTTGATAGGTGTCTCATAGTATGCATCAGTAAACACATCGTGCGATGAAATCTGAGGCATGGGTGGGCAATTCCGCAAAGTATTGTCAATTTTTTCCGGTAATGTTGAGGGTAACCTGTTGATACAGATATCATTGAATGAAACATGGCAGGCATCATTTCCATCGTCAAAAGTTTATTAAGAAAATAACAACAGCCATTCGTGCAAGTTCATAAGTAGTGCATATGCTCATACCCAACCTTGGTATAACAAAAGGAGATGGTTGCACTGTCACTAATCAGATATTAAGTTAAAAAAGGTTACAGATGCCTCAACGTCAAGTAGGAAAGTTTCTAATCATGTCAAGTTACACAAATCTTAATTCCAAGAAACTCCATTAGCTTTATCATTTTATGCAAAAAATAACATGAAATAAACAGATACCTTTCATGTCAAGGAGCAGAAGTGTGTCATAAAATTTAGGCTCACAGGCAAACAGAAAGGTTTCACGGCAAAGAAACTCATTTCTTTTTCAAGCTGAAAAGTTGGTTCCTCAATAAAAAAATTAGACATGTGTGCTTCGTTGCCCAAAAAAATACAGTAAACTTGGAGATAAACGTGAAAATAATACAGCAGTCAAAAAAAAAAAAAAAAAAAAAAAAAAAAAAAAAACAGAAAAGAAAACTACCTGTCTGCAGAATTATCTTCTCCAAGTGATTTTAATCCAATTTCATAGCCATATACACCTCCATTCATACCTGTGACATTCCAGATACATTCAACATTTGTTTTAATTAAAAATTTAAAACGGGATCTACGTCTGAAGGGCTTTAGGAAGTAAACTTGATGAAAATTACCATCACTGCTGAGAGAATTCTGTCTGTTGTGGGAATTAATTGGTAGCTGCCTACTGTCCACTGCACCTCCTGCTTGCTCCACCAAATTATCTTCGAAACCTGAAACAGACCTCATTTTTCCAATCATGCCTTTCAACTCATTTTTATCCTCCTTCCCATCCACCTCTGCTAACTCTCTATCCACAGCTGATTTGTTAAGCAAGCTAGCATCTACAAGGGTGGTACTAGAAGAATCTTGAGAGCCAAACAAGAGTAATTGTTCTTTGGCAAATCTGTCAGAATTGGACTGAGGGGGCAATTTTTCAGTGTTTCCCACGTGGTTAACTTCTTTGCTCATAGGAACTCGAAACAAATGCTCTTGCAACAAGGCACTTGAGTTGCAATTTTGAGGACCTTGGAAAAATGTGTTGTTCACACTGACTTCCTGATTTAAGAAATGATGGAAGGGAACATGTGAAGGATGTGGCTCAGATACTGGCCAAAAGGTTCCCTGACCTCTGGGAGATGGCACGGAATGTTGATAATCAATTTCTGATGTCTCTTCAGATCGAATATCCAGTTTTTGCTGGAGAAGGTTCATTAAAGCTGTCCTTGAGTTTTCATCAACTCCTCCAGCTGATGCCCAAACACCTGACTCTGCAGAAGTCACAATAACTTCTGACTCCTTTCTTTGCCACTCAGAATTCTGCATACCTTTTCCAATCCAACTATTTTCCAGCTGTCCATAGTTCTCATCACAATAACTCCCTATCGCATCTTGATGGGAAACATAAAAATCACCTGACACTTGTTGAACAAATGATGGGTTACCAGAAGAAAAAGAAACCAGTTTGTCACTGGATGGTATACATAGTTGTCCTTCTGATATCTTCAAAGTATTGATGCTATCCAAGTTTATCCCCGGAGCAGAAGCAGGAACAGAAACAGACCTCTCAAATGCTCTTGAACTGGGGTCAAAAAACGCTGGCTGCTGTTGTTCCTGCAAGACATGATTCTGCTTAGGCTGGCCAAATTGCTCATGATGAGACAAAAGTCTCTGCTGGTAAAGATCTGAAGCATTGAAACCAACTGATTCAGCCTGGTGATGACCAGAGGAATTCCTGATAAACCGAGCAGGTTCCTCAACAGACCATGGCCCAGGAAAGTCTCTTTCCACCTCCATTCCAAACTGTTGCCTCAATGCTGCAGATAACTGCTGTGCCTGCAACTGTTCTTGTTGAAGGCACAGCTGCTGTTCTGCATGGAGCATATTTTCATGCTTTGCTTGTGATATAAGGTCCAACAAATCAGTTTGCTGCCCTCGCAGTGCATTCTGGGCAATTTTTGCTTTGATGATCTGCTCCACAGATGGGTCAAGGTGCCTTGAAGCATGAGCACTCTGTTGCATTTCATGAAGAAGATTAATCCTTAATTGAGCCTGATCAAGTAGGTTGTCTCTAACATGATCTATCTTTGGCTGCCCATAACCAGGATCTAACATCTGACGCTGCAGCATTTGCTCAAGAAGCAACTGTTGAGCTTGAGATTGCTGTTGGTGCTGCTGCTGCAGCAACTTCATCTGGTTTTGACGAAGCTGCTGCTGCTGCTGTTGTTGAAACTGAAGTTCCAAAAGATGTTCCACATCTGGTGATGAATGAACTGAAGGCTGGAGATTGGGATTGTTGCTCTGCATAAGATTGATACCTAATCCAGTCAAATGTGGAAAGAGATTAGGTGACAGATGATTTTGCTGTCGAATTGGATCTTGCTGCAACTTTTGCAGCATCAGATGCTGTGCTAAATCAAAACCATAATCTTGCTCCCTGTGAGATATTGGAAGAGAACCTGCAGTCCCTAAATTAATGTTTGAGTTAGGCAGACCATTTCTTATATACTCATCAGACCATGTCTCTGGAAGAGATGGTTGTTCAGCCACTGTACTAACAGAGCTCTGACCAGCAAACATGGCATCTCTATTTAGCAGAGGATCATGAAAGTGACCCCTATCACTTATGCTTGATGCCATAATAGATGATTGAGAATGTCTCAAAGCTGAGCTGCCTCTCTGCTCAGACATCAACTTGCCAAAAGGATGCAAATCATCATGATGATGAGATGGCATGATGGTCCGTGAAAATTCATTTTGAAGGAAAGAGTGTCTAACTGGATTTAAAAGTGAACTACTGAAGTCAGAATTAGGGTTTAGATGGTTGCTAATACCACTTCCTAGCCTTCCTGGAAAGATAATGTCTGCATCAAATAAGAAAAGCACACATCATAACTAGACATAATAAATAAAATATAAATTGAACAGAAAATCAAAACAATGTAATTCACCCTCTTCTGGAGCAGCAATGCTGAAGCTCTGATCTTCGGGATGCTGGTGCTCAGAGCGATAATTATGATTAGCAGAAGCAGACACAAAACCAGATGAGTTCTGCTGTTGATCACTTAAAACAACAGACCTTTTCAAGTCATAAGCATGAGCCTGGGCAGCATCGGTGGGTTGTAAGCTGGTAACTGAATTATTGTTGGACAATGGCCTACCATTTATTTTTAAGTGTGGCATGACTTCACCAAGTTCCTGGAAAGCTGATCCCTCAGGGGCATCTGCCAATCTAACTGGCAGATCTGTGCCAAAGTAGCCTTGCTCAAACCATGTAATAATGTCAATCCCCAAATATGGTCCCTGTATAACCCCTTGAGGATCAAGATAGCACAAACTTAAGTCTTCTGGAGGGATAAGACTTCCCAGAGTACATGCCTCATTATTGCCCTTAAGAATGAGCTGATCACTGTTTGGGGTTGGCTGCAGCAACTGAAAATCAAATAGAGAACTTGAATCCCCTGGAAGCTGGTTAGCAACTTCAAAAGGACTAGCTGATTTGGTAACTGCCACATTAGAGTGCTTCAGAAACTTCAAATCTGCCACTTGCTGGTTGTCAAAAAAATTCAGTTCATCAATATCATTTCTCAAGCTACCATTCTTCCTATCCAGCACCAATGAGTCAGTTACAGGCATTCCAATTGCTGATGGACATCTCTGTTTCTCTTCTTCCAAGGTGTTAGTTTCTGCAAAATCATGAGCAGAAAAATTCAGCACTATAAATAACTAATACTAACGCAAAGGACCGCCAGTTTCAATAACTTGATAATGAATTTGCCTACCCTGTGCCATAGCAATCTCCAAGTCAGATACATCTAATGTCTCAGCTCCACTCTCCTGACAATTATTGTCTACAGCAACCTTCTCCCAAGATGCAACCATTTCTTCTTCCCAGTGAACTGAGGAGTTTTCCGCATCTCTGAAGCTTGGATTTGATCCCCCATTCATGTCTCCTAGTAGGTTGTGTGAAACGTCACTGCTTGTAATTTTTCCTTTCCAAATATCTCCCAGGACAGCCTGCAAGAATCATAGTTAGCCAACTTGATGCAAGGAACATAGAAGGGATAGTCATGAATAGGTCTTCTGTGTAAAAATAAACTACTGATTTCATACCTCTTCCTCTGCACCGGGAGGAACAAAAGCCAATGGCTCAATGGCATCTGTCTGTGTTATTGGCGCTGCATGGTCCATCATATCAGGTGCGGCATCAAAATTGGAAACAGTTTTTTGCTTACGGTAGATGTCAAGAAGTTTAGCCCTAGGATAGAAATATGCACCACCAGTGTTATTTTTTCCTGTGAGAATGGACCCAATGACAGATACAGAGGGACCCTCCCCAGTGACATTAGACCCTCCTCGTCCTGGAGCAAATCGGATATTTGATCCCTCTCCACGTCCCCTCCCCAACCCAAATCCTGGGGCATTTCGCTGTGATGCTGAACCAGCTGCATGAATTTCCAAACGGTGTCTTGGCCTCCATTTGTCACGAGAATCATTCTCATTCTCAGCAGCTGTGCGGCTGCCACTAACAAGAGATTGCTTATCAGTATGAGTATTTTCCTTCCAAGCATCTGTCTTCTTCTCATTTTGAGAATCCTTCTCTTTCTCTTCAGGACCCCACCTTGAAGACCATTTACTATCTCTTCGAGATTCATGCCCAGAACTCCGACTGTTCACATCATGCCAACGATCAGAAGATAAAGGTCTATTTTCAGAAGCATCTCTAGAAGAGCTGAGATCACCACGACGATCTTCTTTTCTGCGATCTCTTCTACCAAGTGAGCTTGTTTCTCTCTCTTCTTCACGCCAGCGACGATTACCTTCAACACCAGACGCAGGCCTCCTCCATTCTTTCTTGTCCTGAGATCCATCCGAACGCCAACTATCTTTCAGATTGGAATGAGTTGATGCTCCATGGGGCAAAGAGTTGGGTGCTTGTATTTCCTGTTGATTTTCCAGTAACATTGAATAAAAAACGTGGAAAATAAAAACTCAATGAATGCAAGAAATTTTACTCGTCATGAACTTAAAGACAAAACGAATTTCTTTTCAATCATGCTAAACAACACCCACTTTAATAATGTTGAAGGAGCATGTCATACAATTAGCTCAAAAATTTTCAAAAGGCTAACTTTTACCATTACAGTCTTGTTAATTTGGCCATATCCTAAATACCAATTAAGAATGAGGTGCTCAAACAAGAAACAAGCACACTAAATTCCAACCCTGAAATAGCGATCAAATGCATCTTGGTGTAAAAGAAAAAAGAGAAACAGAATGTCTTACTGGAACAGATGATGCTCCAGTAGCAAACATCTTGGCATCAGCCGATTTAGCATAAAGCCATTGAGGAGAGAGAGGCAAACTGCTATCTGAAGCTGAATGATCTGCATTCATAAATTGAATACAATCAAGACTAAAAGTAAAGCTCTTGAATTTCCAATGATACAAAGTTTGTATGCCAAAGAAGTACCTTTTGTTACATCAAGCAATCCCAACAGTCTCTTCTCCTCAACATTAGCTCCTGAAGCATCACCTACAAAACAATTATGAATTGGTTATGAGGAGAGAAAAGGGTACTATAATCTGAGAAAATAAATAGAAAGAGACAAGAAAGCAAAAGGCAAATATTATACTTAAAAAGATAATGCAAAAACAAATAAAAAGACAGACAGAAATGAAATAAAAGGAAGGTTTTTACCGGAGGAGTGTTGAAAAGAGGGGTTGGAGGAAAAGAGTTGATCGGGGAGGCCCAATTTCGCATCAGCCATCATCAGAAGAAAATATTTTGCAGAGATCGGGAAACGCTTGTCTTGCTGAGGCTCAAAGAGAGATCAATTGGGCGGGGAATTGTTCATAAAGGAGATAGATTTCTAGGGTTTGTGAGGTTTGAGGGATTGGGAGAGAGAGCGGAGGAAGAGAGGGAATCAAGGGAGGTAGGCAGGCAAGTGTATTGATCAATTTGATCTCATTCTCATCTGAAACAGAAAACTGCGAATTTTTTTTTTTTTTTAAAACAGAGTTTGTAAAAGAAAATAAAATTTATCCTTAGTTAAATGCCTTTTTTTTTATTAATTTAATTGCAACAATTATCTTTCGTCTCTTATCTTATCTATAATATATTTCATTTTCACTCAAATAAAATAATTATTAAACTATTTAAAGTGTTGATAATTAAATATTTTTTTATTATTAGTAAATTATCAATCAATCATTTAATTAAATTTACATATGTAATAATATTAAAATTAATTTTTATAATTTTTTATACAAATTAATGAAAAATAAGATGCCTTAGATCTTTGAAAATATTATTTTGAGAATACTCCATTTCTTTTGCTTAAAAAAAAATTCCCCCTCCCTCTAGAAGAACCAAGTTTAGCCCTTTGCTAGTGGTAATATACAAGCTCTACCCTAAAGGGGAAAAAACCATTTCTCTGGCGATATTCAATAGTTGATTTGCTTGAGAAGACAGGGAAAAGATGCGCATTAAGCGATCGAATAGCATTTATACAAAGTAGTAACATTCTTTTCTTTTCCCCTTTTTTTCTTTTTGAAATACACAAAGATAATAACTTTAACTGAGTTGAAAACTTGAAATAGTTGCTTATGCAAACCACCAAATAAAAAAATATATAAATATAAATCTGCTCAATACTATCGACAATAAAGTAAAAATCATAATGCAAACATGGAGTGTAAGAATAAATGATGCACCAGTAGCTCCTCTTGTATCAAATAAAAGGTTGTGTGCGCCTAAATTCTGTGATAAAGAAGGCAGCTTCAAGCTTACAGAATACTTAAAAAAAGTATTTTACCAGAAAACTCAACCACAACTTGCTACTAAAGAAATAAAACCTCTTGATTTTATATTGTCAACAACCTCAAACAACAAAAATGATATTTGGCTGCCAGCCTAGATGTCCTCAGTACCAAGATATGAAATTTCCTAGTGGATTTTAGGTCATTCTCTGGGCTGCTTCCCTTGCTAGTAGCTTTTCTCTGGCCTTGGTCTTGGCCTGTGATTTGGAACCCATGATGCCACCACCCCACTTCTTCCTATACTCATCATACTTGTCATTAAAGTTGGCCTGGAACAAGACACAACAAGATGAAATTAAACGTCCAA